TACTTCAATTTTTTTATTTATAATAAATTCTATTAATTATTTTCGTTGCTGCTATTGCAAAACTTATTTAATTTATAGAATTTTGAAATAAAATTCGAAGAAAAAAATATATGAGAAATTTGCGAAGTTTGCAAGCTTCATTGTTTTGCACGAGCACTCAGAGATGACGCTCCTTCAACGGAGTCATGATCATATACATTGTCAATATAGGACGCAAGAGAGGGTCGGTTTTGGTACAGAAAAATGCGAAATCTGTTCCCATTTCTTTCTATCTTTTTGTCACAGCGCATATGTGGAAACCTCAACGTAAACAACTGTCGATGTCGTTCAGCAATCAAATTTGTTGGTCATATTTGCCGATTTTCAATCAAAAAGCCGACATTTTCGTGCGGAATGTGAGCGAGCATGTGGGCAAAGGTGATTTTGATATGTTAAAATACTCTGCTGCGTGCACGTTGGACTTAACTCTAGGTAAATTTGACAATTTCATTTCGAAATGTTTTATCAACTAATTTCACGATCAAATATTTGCTTTTGAATGTAGAAACGGTTTTGGGCACATCAATGAACATACAAAAAGGCAAAAATATGCACTACATGAAAGCACTTACTGAGTAAGTTATACAATATTTGAAGAATAGAGATGAAACTTTCTGTAAATATTGTTGTTTTTAATAGTTGGTTGTCGGTCGTTTCTCGAAGAATGGTTAACGTATTTTTGCATCCAGACATTATTTACAAACAAACACAATTGTACCAAATGGAATGTGATGCATTGGCTCGATCGGAGGCGATGCAAGAAGAGGTAGGCACACTCTTAAATGTAGAAAAAATTGTAAAATTTCCTTCTCTTCCTCAAAATGTGCAGTTAATTCTAAAAAAGATGAAAGAGTTCGAAGAAAACAACCACAATAACAACGATTTAGATGAAGCAAATGAAGACAAGCCCTACGAAAAACCTCAAATATTCATTGAACGTCTCATTAAATTGCGAAATCAAGGTATCATAACCGATCAAGAGATTCGTGATCAAGTGCATTTGATTATATTTGCCGGTCAAGATACGTCTTCATACACAATAGCGATGACACTACTGCTATTGGCGATGCATCCAAAGATTGAACAACGGGTCATCGATGAACTTAATACAGTATTCGGTGATTTGCCGGTGGATTGTGACCTGACAATGGAGCATTTGAATGCATTAACATATTTGGAGCAGGTCATCAAGGAAACATTACGAGTGTATCCCGTAGCACCACTGCTACTGCGTCACTGTACTGAAGATACAAAATTGCCAAATTTCGTCATACCAAAAAACACCGAAGTTGTGATTTCAGTGTTCACTGGCCATCGTCGCAAAGATGTATGGGGCGAGGATGCTGACGATTTTAATCCTGATCATTTCAGCAAAGAAGTCAGTTCGAAACGAAATCCATTTGCATTCATGGCATTTTCTAATGGACCCAGAGACTGCTTGGGTCGAAGATTTGCATTTATTTCCATTAAAACAATTTTGGCCAAATTACTTCGAAAATATCGCTTCTCCACACATTTGGGCAAAGAGGATCTGAAATTTCAACTAGAAGTCACCAACAAACCCATCAACGGAATTGTTCTTGAAGCTGAAGAACGAATTTGATAATAACATTTAATTTTTCGTGAGATTTACATATATTTTAGTTTAGTTTTAAATGACAATTGCATAGCATTTAAACGCACATAAAACGATTGGCAGTAACCAAAAGTCAATAACTGATGTTCATTGCACTAAATTAATTGGTATTATGCTGATGTCACATACAAGGTTATTGATTGTCAATTATTCGATTGCAAAGCACTATGCTTTGATTCTTTATTTTTTTTTTTTTGAATAAAATCAATACGAAAAATGTTTTTTTTTTAATTTTGAATGTGTTTTATTATTGTTTTTCTAACATTGATTCCGATTGATTCGAACTCAAACACATCGACTTAATTCCATTGAGAACATTAAAATACACAGATATATTGTATACAACGTTATTCATAGAAGAACAGCAATTCAAATAAATAAAAGAACTATTAAAGTGGAAAATTGGAAAAATTGGATGGTTTGATGATCGAACCAGTTTTTTCGATCGCATTATACTTCTGAATTTATTGGCGAATTAAATAAATAAACAAATCTTTTCCAATTTTATCCCTGAACTTTTCATTTTGCTTTCATAATTTCATTCCCATTTAGAACTCAGTTCAGTTTCCCACTGAAATAATGATCACTTTATGACAATGATCATTACAAATTTCATATTTTCATCTAAAATCATTTGCAATGATGATGCTACTGACGCTATTCTCTTCTGATGAATATTCTGATAAAAAACAACAATAATTTCGTGGAATATCCCAAAAAATATCGATGTGTCTTCCATTAATTTTGACTCGCATTGGCAATGGATTTTCTGGACTTGAACGAGACCAAGGTCATAATATAATACCATGGTTACTTTGGTGCAGAGAATATTTCTTAGAAATATTTCATTTCAATTGAAACCATACTCTCTCATTTGCAACCTAAACATAACACAATAATAAACATCTCTCATACATTTACATATGAACTGAATTTCAATTTGGTTTTCACATAAAAGGTATATGCAAAAAATGAAATGCAACATCTTCTGCAGGTACATCAGTAACAATGTAATTAATGCTCTGCATCTTGTATTGTTTTTTTTAATCCGGGGAAAACCCAGGTCATAAAACACACTTTTTTTTTACATATATTTCAAAAAAAGATATTTTGCCGGGGGTCATAAAGTACAAATTTCAAGGAATGGTATTGAATCCTATTGTTTTGGTTTGTTCCTTTTTTGCGTATTCTGAATTCGTACATCAAATGTTGCAGAAAATGGTAAAGTGTAATTAAGAACAAAAAAAGAGAAAAATATATATCCAGCAAAATCCATCTATCTCTTTTTTCACTTTCACTTTTTGCTTCTAATGACATTAGAGCTGGTACATCATCTCAACTCAATTCGTGTCAAATATTTTGTCTTCAGTTTCAAAGAGTCCTTTAAACTGTTCGGTCGTCATCTTACCAAAGTTCTCTGTGTGCGAAAATATAAATAATAATAGACATTTTCAGCAACATTTATTAAAATATTCTGCATAATTTTGTCGTTTTATTGAAAAGTCTTAAAATACGACAGAAAAAAGAATTTGTGACAACAGGTTCAAAAACTCAAGAAATTTTATGAAAAGAAAATAGAATAAAAAGACAGAAAAACAGCAAAATTAAGAAAATCAGTAAAAACGTCGAAAAAAGTCCTACGAGACTAAAAAAAAAACTCAAAAAACAACAAAACAAGTGAAGACAGTAAAAAAATCAACGAAAAAACACAACGAAGTTCTACCAGTTCTATACCAAATAATCACCAAATTCGCCTTAATTTGAAAACATCGTCAAAAGCGTTTTTCGCTTCGTCCAAAAAAACCATTAATTTGTGAGCGAGAATTGTAAAAATGAATATCAAATGTATGATAATTTTTACGATGTTGGCGATAAAGCCAAGTGTATCGGACACGAATGTGCTACATCTCGATTTAAGTAACAAGAAAATCAGTGGCTTGTACGTCAACGCATTTGAGAATTTGACCAAATTGAAAATATTAAACTTATCACGCAATAAAATCAAGGAAATTCCATCGTTTATATTTTTGCAAACGAAAAAACTCATCGCCATCAATTTTTCATTCAATAACATTCAAGTGATCGACGATTTTGCACTGGCCGGCGATTTTAATTTGAAATTTTTGGATCTATCACACAACCTCTTGGAGCATTTCACTGAAGTATATATAGAGAGTCATTCAAACTTGACGCGTTTGGATTTGTCATTCAATCGAATCACCACATTGGAACCAAATACATTCCGTCGTCTCGTTAAACTTCAGTATGTGTCTTTGGCTTCGAATCACCTCTCGCAAATAGAATCGGGCACATTCTCATCTTTATCGAACTTGCAATCACTTGACTTATCAAATAACTCATTGGTCACGTTCGATTTCAACATTTTACCAACAGATCAACACCAAATGCGATGGATTTCAATTGCTAGCAATCGATTGCAAAAGCTCAGTGGAAGCGCCCATTTACGAAACTTCAACGGTGTAATCAAAGGAATTGACAGCAATCAATTAAGCTGTACGTTTTTGATGGAATTTAACAAGGCAATCACAGGAAAATTACTGGACCCGATTTCAAAATTGGCTGAATGCAATAAGAGATCTAAAACTCTCAAAATTTCATTGAATTCATTTTTCGATGAATTCGTTTTCATTATAGGGTTTTTCTTCGGCATCTTTATACTGATTTTACTTCCAGTTTCACTACCCGTTTTCATTACAATCACCGTATTGGGATCGTTATTCTTTATACTGATTTCACTATCCATTTTTCTACCAATTTTAATAACATTCATCGTATTGGTATCGTTATCCATTGGCTTCCTATTCGGTATTTTTGTCGCATTTATGGCCTTAATAGAAGCTGCAGATTTAATCATTGACGAATTCATCGCGAATATCGATTTTAAGGCAAAAATTTCAAAATTATATGGATCTTTTGTAACTTATTGTTCAAGAAAAGTCATCGAAATAAGTTCATCACTGCGAACACTTGCATTGAATATCAAATTTGAGTATTTGAATGAGCGAGAAAGAAATCAAAATCAAGCGGAAGAAGATGCTGAAAACGACGAGGGGTACATCGAACAATTTGATGAAGAAACTGATGGGTCCGAAAGTGATTGGGAAACAACCGATAGCGAAGAGGAAGACGTAGAGGAAAGTGACCACATTGACTCCATCGGAACAGAATCATATGAGAGGTTTGCATTTGAGAGCAACACCGAGGACAGCCAGAGCGACACAGAGAGTGAAACGGAAGGAAGCGAAAGCGACAATGCAATCCTCGAAAGCGATGTGACGTATATGGAAAGCGACTGGGATTCAACCGAAAGTGATGAAAGCGACGAGGAAAGCGAACTGGAAAATTCAGATGGCGACGAAGAAGAGATGGAAATCGAGATAAGTGGCTTCGAAAGTGATGAGGAGGCTTTAATAAGCGACAGTGATGACATGAGAAGTGAAGAGGAGACTGACGGTACTAATGATACGGAGGAAGAAATCGAAATGGAGAAAAGCGACGACGAAGACATGGAAATTGACGTAGAAGGCTTCGATAGTGACGAGGAGGGTTTGATAAGCGACAGCGATGATATAAGAAGTGAAGAGGAGACCGATGATGCGGAGGAGGAAATCGAAATAGAGAAGAGCGACGATGAAGACATGGAAATCGACGTAGAGGGCTTCGAAAGTGACGAGACAGATATCGAAAGCAAAACGGAATTAACTGAAATTGATACAGATGGATCCGAAAGTGATTGGATGGATGATGAAAGCGGATGGGAAACATTCGATAGCGACGAGGATGACTTGAGAAGTGATACAGAAACATCTGATAGCAATGACGAAGATACAGAAAGTGACGACGAGTCCTCCGAGTGTGATTGTGAAGAATATTCCATCACTGACAATATTTCCATCGAAACTTACTTACTTAATTCAGATTTATCAGAAACTGAAAGTGACGGTGAAAAACTTGAAGAATTAATAAAAGAGGCTGAAACTGCAAATATATTTATACAGCCATTTGAGTCACTTCTCACAAATCTTCCAATACCTAATTCCGAAAGCAATGAAGAGAGCGTGCCCGAAGTTGATCGAGAAATTAATTCCGAAAGCGAACTCGATTGTAGCCAAAATGAATTGGTCGAAATGGAAAACGAAGAAAATGAAGAAGAAAGCGAGCCAGAGGACTTTTTGCTCGTACAAATGGATAGCAACGCCGAAGAAAGTGACGACGGTTTTGTCATAATAAAGTAGCCGCAAATTTAATTTCCTTATCCTGCTACTCATGACTCTAATTTTTTGCCCAGATGCTTTTCACACATATTTTGTATTTCATTTTAATTTAAAAAAAGCAATAAACAATTTTTTTTTTTTCAAATGTTCGCGAGTTCTTCTTTTCTGTAGTTTTGTACAACCAAATTTTCTAACAGGATCTAGTTTGACTTCGACTACTTCAACGATTTTAAATCTAGCGCTGCACATTTTCAAAATGTCATGTCAATTCACGGCGTTTCACGATGCATCTGTTCATAAAACTGATGTCGTTGAAAATTCTACTGTCAATGCACATACTCACATCACATTTGCACGTCGGTGATCGCATTACCAGTGAACTATTTATTACAAACTCATTTAAATCGTAAGTATACGTTTTCCATTTTAATTTTCGATAATTTTTGTTTGTCACCTGTAAAAGTGGTAGAAAGTAATTCTTCATTGAAAGTCATTTTTTTATGAAAGTCATTTTCATCCAATTTGAAAGGAAAATAGTGCTTTTCAAGTTTTCACTGGTGAGCAAGTTACATAATTCTGAATAGATCGATTTGAACATTTGAGAAAAAACTTTAATCGTGAAGAATTTTACAATTGGAATGGAAAAACCAGATAAAAGTGACCAAAATTTAGTTTTGTCATTTGAATAATCAAATCAGAAAACTTCGAGTTGGATACGAGCCACTTTCTTACGATTTTGGATTAGAATTAAATTGCAAAGAAGAGAAACAAACAGAAAGCAGTTCGGAAAACCAATATTCAATGAAATTAGACGATTTTGAGTGCACTATGTTGAAAATAGTTAAGGAGTACGATGAATGTATGAATATCTCTTTTTTTATGAACACCAGTTCCGTAATCAACATATATCTTTTTTCATTTATTCATTCGATGCTAACTCCTTTGCCAAGTGCATTTAACGCTCTAAGTCATTCGAACCTAACGTTGGGCACTGTTTTTCTCTACATTTGTAATTGTGGTTCTATTTTTATCCCGCGCGAAAATAGCCATTCTTTACGTTGAATTATACACAAAAAATCGAAAGTGTTCGATGCAATACATGTCGTGTTTCACTCTAATGCATCAGCGATGCATGAATAAATGCTATTTGTCGGGCTTTTTCATGTTTTTGCGTGATACAGAACGAAAATGTTTGACAATCCAATTTTCACTTACCAAACGCAAATTTCAATTTGAAAAGGAAAATGTGATGTTTTCATTTGATATTAAGCCGAATAAATTTTATTCTAAACATTTTCAGATGGCAAAAAGCGGTGCAGTTTTGGAATCATCTGGCAGCGGATCGCGGCCACAATTGAAAGGTCGTCATGTCTTATTCATGAAAAAACATTTAAGCATTGGCATTGCATACGCTCTTGCTACGGTCATCATTGCCAAATACACCATCAACGAACCACGCAAACGTGCCTATGCTGAATATTACAAGTGAGAATTACTTCAGAGTTCTTCAAATATCGTTATCTGAACCTTTTCTATTCAATTTTCCATTCTTCTTTTAGGAACTACGACATTGAAGCAGAATTTGAGCGCATCCGTAAACTCGGCTGGTTCCAATCGTGTCCAGCTAATTAAATTTTGAAAATGCACAGATATAACTCGTAGTTTAAATCGAAGCTGTGAATGATCTAAATAAAGTCAATTTCTTTTAAACTTATTTCGAAGTGTATTTTTATTCGAATAGATTCTCTTTGACAAATGGAGTTCTTTGGAAGTTTTTGTGATGCTACGAGTATATAACGTTTAAAGATTTTTTTTATGGCTATTCAATTTTAAAGTGTGAAATACTGTGTTTTGACGCTTCATTAGTAAAAAATCTTTTGATATTATTATCAATGTAATTAAACTGATTGTAAATATCTCATTTATGTTTATGGTTGTCATGCGTTCAATATGACAGAATGAAATAAAAGGCAAAAATCATACAATTCGCACCTTATAAACTTTCGACGCGCTCATTCTGATTAAAAAGATGCGTGTGTAAAGTCGTATCAGTATCTTGTCGCTAATTTTATCATAAAGTTAAACCAAAAATTGTTTGCAAGATGAATAGAGAGACAGGGTCAAAAACTACGGCATATGAAAGGGACATCGTCGTTCATTCACGACAACAGGTATTATTTTCAAACTATTTGAGAAAAACACTATGGAGAATATATTTAGACACTAATATCGAGAACATAATTTCAACAAAAAATAAAGAGTCTTACGGGAGTAAGACGAACTTTTCCGCACGGTGGTAGTTGCGTATTTTATTAAGAAAGTTCAAAATAATATTTGCTCGATTCTTCAAGTCTTTCAAGTGGCGTAAAGTTCGAGACCAAAAAATATGTTTCAACTTTGGCAACGAAATATTCTTTAATTTAATAGCAGAAGTACCCGAGAAAAGATTTTTCACACTTTCATGATGAACCCATTTGTACGACATTTGAAAGTATTCTATTTTCTAACAAAACACTATAAAAAATATGTCAGACGTTAATTTTGCCATAAAAATTATTTTTGAAACACTTTTCATAACTAAAGTCACAACAAATTTGGATTTTTGTATGGGAGCCATGTCTGTATGCTACCTTAATGGCGTGAAACTTTGCACAGGTTATTTTTTTCACAAATAACATTCGGAGGGTTTGGAGAAATTTCAACCAAAATTAAGAGTACCTCCCATACAAAATATTCGTTTTTGAGCCAATTGAAAATTTTGTATGGGAGGTACCCCTAATTTTAATTGAAATCTCTTCAAATTTTCAAAATGTTATACTTTTGTGTAAAAAATAGTCTGTGCAAAGTTTCACGTCATTAAGGTAGCATACAGGCATGGCTCCCATACAAAAATCCAAATTTTTTGTGATTTTTTCAAGGAAACTGTATTAAAAATTGATTGTATCTCAAAACTAACGTCGGATTCGGTTTTCTCGTGCCAAAAAACCCCCCAATACATATTTTTGAGTGCTTAAGTCTACATTAAGTATGACTTTTGGACGAAAATTGGACTCTTTTTCATAGGTTTTTTTTTCATCAACCAAAGTCGCTCAAAATCTGATGATTTCTATTCCTGGGGACCCCCAATCATCCCGTGAAGTCAGATTTCGAATAACTTTTCTGGGTGGTGAGAAAATCGATGGACAAATTTTGCGTACGGCGGACAACGTACGACGTACGACGTACGACGTGGAAGCGACCCACAACAACCATGCTCAAAACGGCCTGATTCGGGTTCTCTGACCTCAGAAACGTCCAGAAAACATGTTTTTGAAGTTTCGTAAATTTTGACCTATTGCAATACTTTCCCCTTTCACACTAGGTGTGTGCGGAAAAGTAAAATGTAGACGCACATATTGGAACCAAATGCCAAAGTAACAAGAAGTGAACGTAATTTTATGGAAATAGATGCTGAACATGGCGAAAAACCTCAATCACATTCACATTCGACAAAAATAAAATTCGTTAAAATTATTATAATAAATGGTATAGTCGGTGCTTATTTTGCATGGGCCACATATCATTTCTTTAATAAGAGTAAGAATAGGATGAACTTTATTTTTTGAAAAAAAAAAAAAAAAAATAACTGGCATGAAAATCGATTGTAGATGTATCTGAATCGGGTTGTGAGAACATGTGGTGTGACGGATATGGAATGTTGGCATTGCTAGGGATTTTTGTGTACACATTCCTGCTCTATTTCAAAGTCATTAAACCATTATTTGGCAAATATAAAACGGTATCAGTTCAACCATATAAAAGACAACTTTCTGCTACATTTCAAAAGAATAAGTATGATAACTGGTTGACACCGTACTGAACAACATTCTCGAATATTTTTTATTAGATTTTTGAAATTCTCCATTGTTATCACCATACTCATTACATTTGCGCTTTGTATTGGTTTTGGTACGTACAAATCACCGGAACGATTACAATCACTGCTTGGAATACTCATTCTATTTGGCATTGAATTCACTTTTTTTAAACATCGATCGCAGGTCAGCTCAAATAAATTGACAGAATTTCGAAATTCACCGAAAAAACAAATTGTTGTTCCACAAAAGATTGCAATTTTTGTATTATAAATTTAAAATTATCGCATATATTTTCCGAAATTTCCAAGATCAAATGTTGGTGTTTTTTTCGATTTCGCTAAAATTGGCGCTGAATTCGTGTATGGCAGTGAACTCGTTGGATATATGAAAGTATTTGCATTTACGGTGAGTGCAAAGATCATAAAGAGAGCAATATTCAATTAAGGATTAAAAACAAAAAATTTCGTTAAATACAAAATGTGAAGCGAAGATATTTTAACGGCTCTTCCATCGGTGTTTGATTTGT